GTCCCAACTTTCCAGGCACAGTTTCTTCCATTGTTCTCTCTTAGCAAAGTAATCTGGATACGTTGCTTTCTCAGAAAGCATTCATGGATTTTTAAGTTGCAGGGTTTCCCCCTTCGTCTTCATTCTTGGCCTCTTTCTGTGCTTGGCTCTCTAAGTTCTTGAGATCTTGTCTGTCTCCTCCATCCAGCTGCAGAGGCCTCCGGTTTCTGCCCTGAAGGGTCCTCTGAGGTTTTTGTACAGGAGGGAATGCAGATGCTCTCACTGTGTCTCTTGTACAATAATAGACAGCAGAGTCTTCAAGCTTCAAGTCGTTCAGCTGCAGAGTGGTGGAAGCCTTGGCATTATCTCTAGTTTGGATGAATCTTCCTACGATGGCAGGATTGTACCAAGGGCTAGCACCTAAAGTGGGCATTCGGCACAGCCATTCCAGTCCTTTCTTGGGTTGTTTACGAACCCAGGTCATGTAATAGTTTGAAAAGGTAAATCCAGAAGTTTGACAGAGGACGGTGAGCGAACCTCCAGGTTCCTTTATCCCCCCTCCGGATTGAGTCATCTGAATTTCGGGGTGGCAGCCTGGAAACAAGAATCCTAATGAGCATCAGGGGAAACATAGGCAGAAAATCTAAGTATACACTGTATATTCCAAATTGAGGGGAGGGAAGGATCTACCCAAAAAAGCAGCAGAGAGCAGGAGAAGTTTGATCCACAACGTCATCTCCCTGACTGGGTTGGGTGGAAGACTGTGAGGCTTCCTCTGTTTCATTTTCCAGATCTTATGGCCTTCAGAAACTGCAAGGTTGGATTGGAAATACCATTCTTTAAGAAGGTCAACTGGTTCAACTAATTTGCATTGGCTTCTTTTTATAACCATCTGGGTTTTGCTGTTGGGTTCTTAACGTACGCAACAGTGTCTTCATCTAAAGAGGGGAAAAAAATCAAGATCTAGAGAACATCCTTGTTAGGGAGCAGCCAGGCTTCTGGTGTGACAAGCCATATTGCCCCCCAATAATTTGGGTCCTTATTTTACTGACCTCAGAAAGCGTGACCCGTCAAAAGCGCGTTC